TTGTTGGTTACCAAAAGAGTGTTGCAACCCAAGGAACACAATCTGGAAATATGGAAGCTTTTTGGTTTGTATGAAGGTTAGTAGGACCTCAACAAGAGCCACCATGGATTGGAAATATGTTGGCAGATTTCTTCCAATTCTCTTCCACATTTTAACAAAAAAAACAATGACATGTAATTAATCAGTTAGTCTAATTATGGATCATTGCACATGTATGTGAGATGCTAAGAGATTGACCCCCTAACTGCTCTCAGTAACTAAGATAAGATAAGAGGTACTTTATTAGAGGACATATTGGGAAATGTTTGGGTTCTAGCAGCATAAAAACCAACACAAGAAAACAAGGCATTGAACTAAGAAATCAAAGAGTAGAAATAAACAATACTAGAAATTAAACATCTCAAATAGAATTAAAAAAGTAGAAAATGAAAACACTATTGAAGGGCTCTTTAGACACAATATATAGAAGTGTGTTAAATTCAAAATAAATGTGAATATATTTTATTTCTATAGCGCTTTTCTTGAACCCAAAGACGCTTACATGTACACGTGTGTCCAGTTATTATTAACTACGACAACATGTATGACTGAGTATTGATTTACATGATATTAGTTTTCACTCTCACTGGGACTCATTACAATACCAGTAAGTTCTTTAAGGGTCTTGATAGTGTCACACTTGACACTTGACTGATGTTATATTACATAAGTTTATGGTGAAATAACAATTAAACGATCGGTAATTGTAATAAGTTTCAAGGTTACTTTGAGGGACTTTGTTAATCTCTGTTTTTGAGGTCGGTAGATTAGTGCTGCAACTCATTTCAGTTCTTCTAATGGTGTTGTTTTCTTGTAAGATCAGTATATCTGGCTTCCTTTGGCCCAGTTTGAGCTCCTTCTGAAGTGCATGAAGTTGTGTGTGTGTGTTGTTGAAAGGCAGTCCTTATCGTACGTCATCCTGTAGCCTTTTTAGCTTTGGTCTGCTGCTCCTTCAGGCACAACGCTCTGACATTTCACAGAAGACACTCTGTTCATTGATCAGGAAGGAAGGAACGTTCACAGATCACACTTTGACCATGTTTACTGGTGCAACTTCAAACCAGAGTTAAATGCCATCAATGATATGTCTGGGTTGGTCGGGACATTTAAACTTTCATCACTGCTGATTGTTCTTTTTTAAAATATCTTACATTACATTACATTACATTTAGCTGACGCTTTTATCCAAAGCGACTTACAATAAGTACATTCGACCAGGAAGACACAACCTTGAAGAAAACAGAATCATATAAGTACATCAGGTTTCATAGAGCCAAACATTTCAAGTGCTACTCAACTGGCTTTAGGTAAGCCAGCCCTTTATTAGTATAAAAGTGCTTCGTTAATCGTTCTAACGCTCGAAGTGGAGTCGAAAGAGATGAGTTTTCAGTCTGCGCCGGAAGATGTGCAAGCTATCTGCCGTCCTGATGTCAATGGGGAGCTCATTCCACCATCTTGGAGCCAGGACAGCAAACCCACGTGTTTTTGCCGATGGGAACTTGGGTCCTCCTCGCAGCGAGGGCGCAGCGAGTCGTTTGGCTGATGCAGAGCGTAGTGCACGCGCTGGGGTGTACGGTTTAACCATGTCCTGGATGTAGGAAGGGCCAGATCCATTCGCAGCATCGTAAGCAAGTACCAGTGTCTTGAAGTGGATTCTAGCAGTTACCGGAAGCCAGTGAAGGGAGCGGAGGAGCGGAGTGGTGTGGGAGAATTTAGGAAGGTTGAAGACCAGACGAGCCGCTGCATTCTGGATGAGCTGCAGAGGTCGGATGGCACATGCAGGTAGACCAGCCAGGAGGGAGTTGCAGTAGTCTAGGCGTGAGATGACGAGAGCCTGGACCAGAACCTGAGTCGCTTTCTGAGTCAGCTGGGGACGTATCTTCCTGATGTTGTAAAGCGTGTATCTGCAGCAACGGGTTGTAGCAGCGATGTTTGCAGTGAAGGACAGGTTGTTATCTAGGGTCACACCCAGATTCCTTGCAGTCTGAGTCGGGGAAACAACTGAGGTGCCGATGTTGATCTTAAAGAGGCTGGTGGCCCAAAGTCAGAGAGAGCTGTGATTTGTATTTCAAGGGTGTGTAGTACAGAAGGAGATTATTACTGGGCATTATCTGGAAAAAAGGAAAATGATTGCAGTTGCTGTCAAGAAATGCTCTTATGACGTTAAAAAACTGTAGAGCAATACATGAATGTCTTCTTACTGACTTCACGTCTCCACCGCTAAGCTAAAGGCGGCTAATGTTGGGCTATAAAGGAACTACAGCACGGTCACATGACTTCACGTCACCACCGCTAAAATAAAGGCGGCTAATGTTGGGCTATAAAGGAACTACTGCACGGTCACATGACTTCACGTCACCACCGCTAAGCTAAAGGTGGCTAATGTGGGCTATAAAGGAACTAGAGCACGGTCACATGACTTCACGTCACCACCGCTAAGCTAAAGGTGGCTAATGTTGGGCTATAAAGAAACTACAGCACGGTCACATGACTTCACGTCACCACGCTAAGCTAAAGGAGGCTAATGTTGGGCTATAAAGGAACTACAGCACGGTCCCCTGACTTCACGTCACCACCGCTAAGCTAAATGTGGCTAATGTTGGGCTATAAAGGAGCTACAGCACGGTCACATGACTTCACGTCACCACCGCTAAGCTAAAGGTGGCTAAGTTGGGCTATAAAGGAACTACAGCACGGTCACATGACTTCACGTCACCACCGCTAAGCTAAAGGAGTCTAATGTTGGGCTATAAAGGAACTACAGCACGGTCACATGACTTCACGTCACCACCGCTAAGCTAAAGGCGGCTAATGTTGGGCAATAAAAGGAAACTACAGCACGGTCACATGACTTCACGTCACCACCGCTAGCTAATGTGGCTAATGTTGGGCTATAAGGAACTACAGCACGGTCACATGACTTCACGTCACCACCGCTAAGCTAAAGGAGGCTAATGTTGGGCTATAAGGGAACTAGAGCACGGTCACATGACTTCACGTCACCACCGCTAAGCTAAAGGTGGCTAATGTTGGGCTATAAGGGGAACTAGAGCACGGTCACATGACTTCACGTCACCACCGCTAAGCTAATGTGGCTAATGTTGGGCTATAAAGGAACTACAGCACGGTCACATGACTCACGTCACCACCCGCTAAGCTAAAGGAGCTAATGTTGGGCTATAAGGGAACTAGAGCCACGGTCACATGACTTCACGTCCACCACCGCTAAGCTAAAGGTGGCTAATGTTGGGCTATAAGGGAACTAGAGCACGGTCACATGACTTCACGTCACCACCGCTAAGCTAAAGGAGGCTAATGTTGGGCTATAAGGGAACTAGAGCATGGTCACATGACTTCACGTCACCACCGCTAAGCTAAAGGTGGCTAATGTTGGGCATGATGACGTTTAGGTCGTCTCATTTAGACACTCGTTATCAACCAAAGTTTTTGAATTCACCAGTGGGGTATTTACTGATGTATTTTATGTCGTCGAACAAAACATGTAAATCTCTTCAGCTTTTGTTAATCACAGACCTTATTTCAGGCTAACAGCCAAACACACATTCAGGAAACCATTGACTTTCCAGGTGAGGGAACAGGAAGTGCTAATGTGCTGATGTTTTGTGTTTCTTAAATTTCAGTGCACATTGGAGTTGCAATCGAACATTTAAGAATGAGTTGAATGAATATTATTGACCTTGCCGGAGTAAACTAGTCCAAACCCAGACGGTTTCTTGTTCCTCCTTTGTGATTTTAACAAAAGACCAAATTCTTTATAAATGTCAGTGAGCACAGCACAGTCAGTCCTCTTGAGTGCAGTCTGCAGTCTCCTGATGCTCCACTGGTAATCGTTCCTGCTGTGACTTTACCTTATTCACCCCACACAACACATGACTTCACGTTTATTGACTCAGACGCTGCTAGCTGGTCGTACTAATTCATGTCAGTCAATACGAGATGACCTATTATCCCAGCAGTGTGTTGAATCTAGAGTAAGTTTGGATTGTAGGGAGATAGGGTTGGAATAAAGATGGGTATGGAAAACACGTCAGTGAATACCTCACTGGTGAATTTAAAAACGGAGGTTGATAATAAGTGTCTAAATGAGACGACTAAACGTCATCACGCCCAACATTAGCCACATTTAGCTTAGCGGTGGTGACATGAAGTCATGTGACCGTGCTGTGAGTTCCTTTATAGCCCAACATTAGCCTCCTTTAGCTTAGCGGTGGGTGATGTGAAGTCATGTGACCGTGCTGTAGTTCCTTTATAGCCCAACATTAGCCTCCTTTAGCTTAGCGTGGTGACGTGAAGTCATGTGACCGTGCTGTAGTTCCTTTATAGCCTAACATTAGGCTCCTTTAGCTTAGCGGTGGTGATGTGAAGTCATGTGACCGTGCTGTAGTTCCTTTATAGACCAACATTAGCCACCTTTAGCTTAGCGGTGGTGACGTGAAGTCATGTGACCGTGCTGTAGTTCCTTTATAGACCAACATTAGCCACCTTTAGCTTAGCGGTGGTGACGTGAAGTCATGTGACCGTGCTGTAGTTCCTTATAGCCCAACATTAGCCTCCTTTAGCTTAGCGGTGGTGATGTGAAGTCATGTGACCGTGTTGTAGTTTCCTTTATAGCCCAACATTAATGCTGCCTTCAACTTCCCTCCACCACTATATTTGTGGTCCACCTTCCCTTTTATCAGATGAAAGTGTTGATTATTGATCTCTTCTGCTGGAGATTTTACGAAGTTAGTTTGAAGGTCCATCAATTCTTCAATGTTTTCGCTGTCAAGTAGGACCGTTTATCCTCTCAAGTCTTTTCATTTTCATCACAATCTTCCTGTCTCTGTGCTCCTTGCAGCCTCCATCCGATGCACATTCTCTTCAGTTTGACCTGATGGTAGCAGTGTATGATGAAGTCAGTGTAACCTCTGCTAATAATCTTGTTTTCCTCTGTGTTGCAGGAGTGTGTGGCTGCTGTGGGCCGCTGAGGCCGAGGTACAAACGCCTGGTGGACAACATCTTCCCTGAGGACCCCAAAGTGAGTCACCTTCACATAAATGACGGTTATTATAATCAAGATACCGGGCCAATATATAAACTCTGACTTCTAAGACTCAATTGTTCTCTAACAGCCAATACCTTTGAATAAAGTAGACAATGGTCCCATTTTTCAATAAGAGGTGAATAAATACCTGCTGCTTGCTAATCTTGATGGGGAATATAGTGGAATCGGCACTAAATATTCCTTATTGTTATACAAACATTTTCCTTAAAGCTGCTCTAATCAACATTGTATTAGACAGAAGTTGATATATATCGTGAAGTGGGATGCTAGTGATTGTCCTGGCTTCCTTTCTTGCTTTCTATCCAAGCCACTTTGGCGCCTTTACAGACATTTCTAATATAAATATAATTGTAAAACCTTTTACACATTAAACAAAGAAAAACAGGCCTATAGTCAAAACAAATTGAACAAAAGAGCAAAACTCAAATAAAATAACAAACCAACTTTCTCTGTAACTTTAACGGTAGCGCCCCGTCCACACAGCAGCTTTGAAAAAAATCTTGAAAATCTTGGAGCTGGGCGTGTCCCTTGAGCTTGGGGATTTCTTGTGAGCAACGCAACACACACAACCAATCACATGAATCATCCCGCCCCCGACATACAAAGCAAAAAACCCCGGGGATTTTATGCGAGCAATATATATATATATATATATATAACTCCCCAAACAGGCGAAACCTACCAGTTTCACCCACTGTCTCTGCCACCTCCCTCCATGCCTGGCTCCCGGTAATAGTTCTGGTCGTAAAGAACCGGGTGATTTTGGCTACCGTAATTTTCTCGTTTGAAATATGAGGAAATTAACTGCGGTCTGGTTCTCCCTGCTTACACGCGGTTTGATTGGCTAGCGCTTCTACTGTCAGATTTGCATAAACGGGATTTGATTGGCTGACGCTGCCAGCTCAGCTTCAAAAGTTGAACATTGCTCAACTTTGAATCCTGAAAAATCCTGGAAATTCTTCGCTTTGCTTCCCCACAATGCAGTTCGGCGAAAAGCGAGGCAAAGTGACGTCACCCCCATTCAAAGTCAATGGGCAAGAGAAGCGTTTGGAAGATTTTTTTAAAGCTGCTGTGTGGACAGGCCGTAACTTAAATTTGGGCTGCACGATTTTGGGGAAATAATAGGGTAATTGCGATTTTTTCTGACAGATTTTGCGATTCGATTTGCGATATTGTTGTTTTAAGCGACCCAACGGAATGTTTATTGTAAAAAAGCGGCCATATCTCCCGGGCTAGGAAGGTCCACTGATTGGTTAGGCAATGGCTGGTTTACATGTGGAGCACAGCACTTCTGATTGGTTACAATGGCTGGTACATGTGGAGCACAGCACTTCTGATTGGTTAACAATGGCTGGTAACATGTGGAGCACAGCACTTCTTGATTGGTTAACAATGGCTGGTACATGTGGAGCACAGCACTTCTGATTGGTTAACAATGGCTGGTACATGTGGAGCACCAGCACTTCTGATTGGTTACAATGGCTGGTACATGTGGAGCACCGCACTTCTGATTTGGTTAACAATGGCTGGTACATGTGGAGCACCAGCACTTCTGATTGGTTAACAATGGCTGGGTAACATGTGGAGCACACACTCTGATTGGTTACAATGGCTGGTACATTGTGGAGCAACAGCACTTTGATTGGTTAACAATGGCTGGTACATGTGTGAGCACAGCACTTCTGATTGGTTACCAATGGCTGGTAATGTGGAGGCACAGCACTTCTGATTGGTTAACAATGGCTGGTACATGTGGAGCACAGCACTTCTGATTGGGTACAATGGCTGGTACATGTGGAGCACGACACTTCTGATTGGTTAGCAATGGCTGGTACATGTGGAGCATAGCACTTCTGATTGGTTAGCAATGGCTGGTACATGTGGAAGCACAGCACTTCTGATTGGTTAACAATGGCTGGTACATGTGGAGCACAGCACTTCTGATTGGTTACAATGGCTGGTACATGTGGAGCACAGCACTTCTGATTGGTGTGGATGACTGACACACAAGAAGAACAGACAAAAAAAACTGTTAAATACTGTGCACTTAAGTAACAGGGCTGAAATAGAGGGAGATAAGATTTACTATAATAAGAGATAAAATTACTTTATTGATCCCAATGTGGGAAATGTTTGTGTTGCAGCAGCATACAAGACAAGACATTGTACAATACAAATGAAAAGACTAGAAATAAACAAGAAAGTAGAAAACATACATGTTGAATTACAAATGTACAGTAACAAAATATAAAGCAAGCTATTAATTATACATAAGTATGTGAGGCATGGATTATTAAATATTAAATCAAACATAAATGTAAAATGTACAGTGTGATTTAAAGTCCAAGAGGAGGGTATGAGGCTACAATGGGTGATCGTTTGGTATTTTGAGCAAACAACACATGTTTTTTCTTATATATCTGAGACCTATAATATATGCCTAAAAATTAATGCTAAACTAAGAATTTGCATTAAAAACACTTAAAAAAAATAAAATAGGCTTCAAATATGTATATAAAGTTTAACCTTAGAAGAAGAGTGAGAATGTGCATGAGAGTAACACATTGCGTCACTTCCCCAAAAGTTACGGCTCCGCCCACTTTTGGGGGAAAACAACGCTTTCATTTGAATGGCGGTCAATACAAATTCTGAAGTTTTTGCCAATCCGATCAGACATTTAAGAAAACAGTGGATTTGTGGATCTTCAGAGAGCCCGATTACGATGGCCAGACAGGCAAACATTACACAAATCATTGGAAATCGACGATCGGCTCGATATATGGTTAAATATAGCAGTAGGCGATCGAATGTCCATAGATGAGAGCAACATTTACGTCATGAGAGTAACGAGCTGGTGAAATTACGGCCTCGCCTGCTGATTTTAATTTAACCATATGGAGCCCGATCGTGGATTTGCAATGATGTAATGTAGCTGTTTGCCTGTCTGGCCATCGTCACCGGGCTGAAGATCCACACGTCCACGGTTTTCAAACATTTCTGATCGGATTGGCAAAAACTTCAGAATTTTGTAATGACAGCGTTGATTTCCCCCTAAAGTGGGCGGGGCTGTAATTTTCGCCCCCGAAGTGACGTTGGTGTTACTCTCATCTATATAGACATGTTTTGTTATATATCTGAGACCTATAATATATGCTTAAAAATAGGAGACCTTTAAGCCAGAAAAGATGTCTGAGTGTCTGCTGCATTATGTTGTTACTCAGTGTTTGGACCCTCCGTGAAACCTCCACCTCCGGAGAGATTTCCAGACTCAACACGGAGATAATTAGAGCCTCGAGATGAGTCATTTTATTAAACACGACACGGCTTTGATAACACGACAAGTTTATTATCATGCGTTTGATCCCTCGACCCCTGGTAATTCATAGCTAATTGTGTACACAAGTTGGACTACACACGAGGGAGGGGATTATTCTCCTCTCATCCTCACCACAATATGCTCTCCAGGGAAATGGAAATGGTCGAGACCTTGTCATTTAATTATGAGTTTGTGAGAGTCTGAGGAGCTGAATGTGTCTCGGGGGGAGAGATTCTCTCCAATTAAACCCCCCCCCCTCTTTATGTTTGACACCTGCTGATGATGGATGTATATGTTCTGTCTGTTGTGATATACAATAGGAGCCTGAAGTCACACCGAGGTCTTTAAAACGTTTCCGAAAAGCCAATGAATCGAGCAAGAAGTGCCTTTTTTGTTGTGTTAGAATAAAGCCAGCGCCATTTGTATCGGATCAGAATAAGAAGATATTATTTATCCTGGCAGAAATACGTTTTTGTGACAATCTTTTAATTTTCGAAATAAAATTAAGAAAAATATAAAAGATTTATATAAACAAAATATAAAAAATATGAAAATAAGAGGTTAAAAGAAGAATTTGCAGTAAAAAAATTAATAAAATAAAGATATGTATATAGAAACATAACAGTTTAAAGGGGACCTATCATGCAAAAGTCACTTTGTGATGTCTTCTCTCCATCACCATGTGTCCCCGGTGTGTCCCCGGTGTGTCCCCGCTGTGTCCCCGGTGTGTCGGGGAACTCACGCAGCGTCAGGAAATAAAACCCTCTCTCTTTTCCTCCGTACCCAAATCTCTAAAAACGGGGAACAACGGAGCTGATCCAGATTTGCGTCCGATATGACGTAATATCTGAAATGTGGACCCACGGCCCAATCAGAAACGTTGCTATCAGAAACAATGCCCGACTGTTTTGGACGTAATATGGTCTGTGTTTACATTAGCATCGCTAACACTCAGAGCTAACCTGTACTGGAGAGCATGTGTGTGAAGAAGCAGGACGTAAAAAGGAACTCACCTTGTGGTATAACCGGCAAGAGAGAAAGCCTTTGAGCTCCAGACTGTTTCAGAGAGAATCCTTGATAATCCATGATATGGCGTTTCATCACGGCAGCATTTAGTTTAGACAGTAGCTGCCGGGTCCCGCATGAGCTCAGACCCTCCTCTTTAAAGCTTTATCCCCAAATCAGCACTTTAGAAACAGGAAGTGAAATAGAGGGATATGAGGCATGGCTAGATCTGTTTGGTGTTTGGAGCAAAACACTTCATAGACATGTTATTTAAATAGTTGTATATATCTGAGACCTCTGCTATTGCCTACAAATAGCATGATAGGTGACCTTTAAAGTAAAATGTCCAATAAAACTAATTAAATAGAATACTCGTATGTATATAAACTTTAGAAGTTAAAGTAAGTCTTTGCAGTGAAAATAGAAAATGTATCTACTTTGATTCCCTGCAAAGTTTCAGGAAACGTTGATCTCTGTTTCTCTGCAGGATGGCCTCAGTAAATCTGACATGGAGAAACTCACCTTCTACGCCGTCTCTGCTCCGGAGAAGTTGGACCGGATCGGAGCGTACCTCGCCGAGAAGCTGAGCCGAGACGTGGTGCGACACCGATACGGGTCAGTTTCTTATTTTATTTAAATAATATCCTGCTTATATTGTGTTAACACAAATTGGCTGTCTTTGGCTGTAACACATTTCAATCTCCCCTCTGAGGCACGAACAAAGGGATTCTGATTCTGATTGGTTGTGCAGGAACGTGGTGATCGCCATGGAGGCTCTGGACCAGCTGCTGATGGCCTGCCACTCTCAGAGCATCAAACCCTTCGTGGAGAGTTTCCTGCACATGGTGGCCAAACTGCTGGAGTCCAGAGAGCCGGACCTGCAGGTGCTGGGGACAAACTCGGTAAGACCTGCAATAAGACCTCACCTGCAATAAGACCTCACCTGCAATAAGACCTCACCTGCAATAAGACCTCACCTGCATTAAGACCTCACCTGCAATAAGACCTCACCTGCATTAAGACCTCACCTGCAATAAGACCTCACCTGCAATAAGACCTCACCTGCATTAAGACCTCACCTGCATTAAGACCTCACCTGCATTAAGACCTCACCTGCAATAAGACCTCACCTGCAATAAGACCTCACCTGCAATAAGACCTCACCTGCAATAAGACCTCACCTGCAATAAGACCTCACCTGCAATAAGACCTCACCTGCAATAAGACCTCACCTGCAATAAGACCTCACCTGCATTAAGACCTCACCTGCAATAAGACCTCACCTGCATTAAGACATCACCTGCATTAAGACCTCACCTGCAATAAGACCTCACCTGCATTAAGACCTCACCTGTAGGAGGAGACCTTTTAATCCTGAACGAGCCAACACTCAGCTGTGTGCGTCACTCTTTAGTGTTCCCTGGTCTCCAGCTGTGTGCGTCACTATTTAGTGTCCCCTGGTCTCCAGCTGTGTGCGTTCCTTTAGTGTCCCCTGGTCTCCAGCGTGTGCGTCACTCTTTAGTGTCCCCTGGCTCCCACTTGTGTGCGTCACTCTTTAGTGCCCTGGTCCTCCAGCTGTGTGCGTCTCTTTAGAGTCCCATGGCCTCCCAGGTGTGTGAATCACTCTTTAGTGTCCCCTGGTCTCCAGCTGTGTGCGTCACTCTTTAGTGTCCCCCTGGTCTCCCAGCTGTGTGCGTCACTCTTTAGTGTCCCCTGGCCTCCCAGCTGGTGCGTCACTCTTTAGTGTCCCCTTGTCTCCCAGCTGTGTGCGTCACTCTTTAGTGTCCCCTTCTCCCAGCTGTGTGCGTCACTCTTAGTGTCCCCTTGTCTCCCAGCTGTGTGCGTCATTCTTTAGTGTCCCCTTGTCTCCCAGCTGTGTGCGTCACTCTTTAGTGTCCCCTGGTCTCCCAGCTGTGTGCGTCACTCTTTAGTGTCTCCAGCTGTGTCCACACTCTTTAGTGTCCCCTGGTCTCCAGCTGTGTGCGTCACTCTTTAGTGTCCCTGGTCTCCAGCGGTGTGCGTCACTCTTTAGTGTCCCCTGCCTCCCAGCTGTGTGCGTCACTCTTTAGTGTCCCCTGGCCTCCCGCTGTGTGCCTCACTCTTTAGTGTCCCCTGGCCTCCAGCTGTGCATCACTCTTTAGTGTCCCCTGGTCTCCCAGCTGTGTGCGTCACTCTTTAGTGTCCCCTGGTCTCCAGCTGTGTGCGTCACTCTTTAGTGTCCCCTGGTCTCCCAGCTGTGTGCGTCACTCTTTAGTGTCCCCTGGTCTCCAGCTGTTCGCGTCACTCTTTAGTGTCCCCTGGTCTCCCAGCTGTGTGCGTCACTCTTTAGTGTCCCCTGGTCTCCAGCTGTGTGCGTCACTCTTTAGTGTCCCTGGGGCCATCCAATAGTCCATTTAGCTTAGGAACCTTCCTAACGGAGTGAAGTCCCTCCGTGGCAGCCATGATAAGTGCCGTTCCAATTCTCCAAATGAAAGGAAAGGAGGTTTCAAACTTCCTTTATAACCTCCTTTAGCTTAGGAACCACTGGACCTCCCTTACCGAAAGGAGAGGAGAAAATGCTGCCCCACAATGCATTGCAGCCGCAGCATTTGCCGTCACTCAACAGTCGGCCGTTCACGGACACAAACGATAATGGGAGAAATGATATCATGAAAGTTACGGTGCTTATTACGCATTTTAAAACGTATGTGGTAAGTTGCCAAAGTGCTTTGTTCTGAACGTTCATCAGTATTATAATCAAAAAGAGAAATATGAACGTTAGTTTTTACTGAAATGATCAAATAAAGTCAAGATCTCACAGTCTTTACTGAGCTGTGTGGAGTTTGTTCAACTTTTAAAAGATGTTTGAATGGTGATATACACAGTGATAGATGTTAAGGACTAACGTTTATAATAAATACATCTGTATTGATTTAAGATCTTTTCATCAATCATACGTATTGGGATCATTTGTATTAATGTGGACCGGAGGGAGAGGGGGACGAGCAGAAGCTTCACTTTCCTTTTTATTTCAATTCCAGCTTTGGTCCTGAAGAATCTGTTTCTCTGTTGTCCCCGTTCATAAAGCATAAAGCAACAGCATCAGAGCACAGAGTCTCTAGATGAGTTCACAGGAGTCCCTCGTTCTTATTGAACATCCATGTTGTAGTCCGCTGTATAGAGAACTGTAGTCTCCATAGTTTCCCCACAGCAGCAGACGCTCACAATAGGCTTGTTTGAGACAAGCGAGACCTGCGCAGTTGCGATCAACGTCTTGCTCGTGCGTTGCATGATGGTTAGTCATTTTGTCCGACTTGCTCTGGAGGCTCGCCCACATGAGACGTTGAAATCTCGCGGGACAAAGACGCCCGCAGCCTTGAGAGCGAGGCGCGGCGAGGCGGCGCAGTTCCTCTCCACGAGCTGCAGAAGCGAAATGCTTGATGGGAAACGACTCGCTGGTATCTCGAGCTGAGCGCTCATTGGTGGTTTTTACCACGTGCTGCTGATGAAACTCTCCCATTGGCTCGGCAAAAGTTTGTTGTTGTTTTGTGTCAGTTTTACGTCGCCCACATCCATTCACATTTTTCATCATTGTTCCACAATATTTATCATCATGAAATTAATATCCATATATTTTATACTATACTGCTTACCGTTTCATACTTTATATATCTTAGCATATTCATACACACTGTTCATACTGCTCACAGGCTGCTGTGTATATCTAGTGTATTCATACCCCTCACTGTTTATTCATCATTCAATTCATTCTATATGTTATTCTGTTAGGTTGTGTACATTACTTTTCACTTCACTGCTTGTTGCACCTGGTTAGAAGCTAAAGTGCATTTCGTTGTCTCAGTACCTGTAATATGTGCAATAACAATAAAGTTGAATCTAATCTTGAGCAGGAACAAATGTATACTTAGTACATATCTGACATTAACGATTAAACACATGTGCATTCTTTATAAATGCAAACCGAGTACAAGCCGACTCCGGAGGTGGCGGTATGCACCTTAAAGCTGTTTGCAATCCGCCAAATAACCGAGAGAAGAAGAAGAAGAAGGCGAAGAAGAAGATGAAGAAGAAGAAGCCGACTCGTAGCTGTCCGACTTCAGGCGAGCTTTTTGAGACCTCCCCCGGCTGCGATCAGCTACTCTCGTCTACTTTCGAGGCGATCCGCAACACGTCTCAAACAAGCCTAATGACGTCCGCTGGCGCATCATAAACACGTCGGATAGTGAAAGTGCATTCGGATTCTCTAAAGTACCCGCAGTCTCTTCTCCTAAATCCTTTTGAATTCTCCTATCCACTATCCCTTAACCCCGTGACGTTTCACTCAGAGGTCAAGGAATAGGAGATAGGTTAGAACTTAGGAGCTAATTTTTGGATTATCGGAAAGCAACCCTGGTCTCCAGCTGTGTGCGTCACTCTTTAGTGTCCCCTGGGTCTCCAGCTGTGTGCGTCACTCTTTTAGTGTCCCCTGGTCTCCAGCTATGTGCGTCACTCTTTAGTGTCCCCTGGTCTCCAGCTGTGTGCGTCACTCTTTAGTGTCCCCTGGTCTCCAGCTATGTGCGTCACTCTTTAGTGTCCCCTGGTCTCCAGCTGTGTGCGTCACTCTTTAGTGTCCCCTGGTCTCCAGCTATGTGCGTCTGCGTCACTCTTTAGTGTCCCCTGGTCTCCCAGCTGTGTGCGTCACTCTTTAGTGTCCCCTGGTCTCCAGCTGTGTGCGTCACTCTTTAGTGTCCCCTGGTCTCCAGCTATGTGCGTCACTCTTTAGTGTCCCCTGGTCTCCAGCTGTGTGCGTCACTCTTTAGTGTCCCCTGGTCTCCAGCTATGTGCGTCTGCGTCACTCTTTAGTGTCCCCTGGTCTCCCAGCTGTGTGCGTCACTCTTTAGTGTCCCCTGGTCTCCAGCTGTGTGCGTCACTCTTTAGTGTCCCCTGGTCTCCATCTGTGTGCGTCACTCTTTAGTGTCCCCTGGTCTCCAGCTGTGTGCGTCATAGTGATGTGTCGGTCGCGAACGAGCCGGCTCAAAGAGCCGGCTCTTTTAAGTGAACGACGGGAGCCGGCTCGCGCCCGCGAACGAGCCATTTTTGCGGAGGGATCTAGATCGGCATGAAGGCACATTATGCAATGTGCACATTATCCCGCTTATTACACATGGCCGCATTCTCAACAAAGTAACGACATGACTCCCAATATTAATGGAAATGCTTTTATGGATTTAGAAAATGATTTTATTGATTTAAAAAATAATTGTATGTATTTATTTAAATTGACATGCATCCGCTAAGAAAAGTAGTCCGTTGTTACTGTTTGAACTAACGTAGCGACGGCAGGAACTGCTTCGATAGTGTTTTTGAGGAGCTTTTTGATTACAGATTTGAAAACATCGTTGCTTGCTTTAAAAGTAGCACACTTCATGATGTCAAACCTTGGAAGGTATCTAGATACCCCTGCCCTAATGCCAAAGTAACTGGCAACTGAATATGTGTCGCCGTTTGATGTCTATGTCTGGACCGCTGCGTAAAAAGGAGGGTTTCTGCCCCGTTACTTCCCTTCTTACTTCTATAAGAATAAAACACGGAGGACGGAGATCTCTTTTTCTCCCCCTCTACAGACCGCCCAGCAGCTGATCTCAGAGCACGCTCCCCTCTCCTGCAGGGGGGCGTGGTCAGCTGCAGCTCACAGAATCAGCCCTCTGCAAAAACAGCGCTGGAAAGAGCAAATAGAGCGAAATGAGGCATGGCTCAAATGCAGGATCTTTTTGGTATTTTGAAAAAAAAACTATATTTATATAGTTTATATAGGTCGATACAGTAGCCCCTTTTTTAAATAGTTTTTATAGGTGTTGCTATCTGTTTTGTGTAGCGTGGTTCTACAAGCAAGTCAATGCATTCATTCATTGGGTGGTATCAG